GGGCAAAGGGAGAACTCCATCGTACGGTTTTGAAGAAAAGCCTGCCTTCAAAAGCTGTTTGGGCTCCGGAGGACGTTGTGTGCCGAGTTCTGTTCAGTGGGGTTCGGGGCCTTGTTAGGAAATATTACCGTTAGCAGGTGCTAGAGAAAGAATGGTTCTATCTTCTACCTTTAAAAAAATTTTATTAATCGTCATTTCTCCTTAAGGTAGCTTTTCGGTGACTTCTGGGTGCTTCCATTTATTGGCAAGTTCTTTTTCTATTCAAATCAAAAGTGGATGCTTTTATAATGAGCTGATTTCTTGTGACTGGTTCTTGTTCACGTAATTGGAATAACATGGAGAAGAGTGATTCGAGACTCTGTACATGCCAGCGTACGGATTCTAGTGGAGTCTTTGGTGGGAAGTGAGTCCGTCCCTAACAGAAGCTGTTTCAAAGCTCAGAAGGTCTGGCCATCCCGTTCACCAAGTCTTATTCAATCGCCATTTGTTTCATAAAGCATAAATATATGTGGGGGTTGAAACCCTTTATTATAAAATTAAAATCAGCCACATAGCACATTCCATCTAGGGCTTCACATTTTCAACTGAAAATAGCAGGCAGCTAATTTCCTGGGATTGAGGAGTAACGGTGTGTGGAGCTATAAAAAGCAAGAGGGCTGGGGGGGGGGGTTCTACAGTTACTTAAGTTTTGAATTTTATACTTTGCTGGAGGGAGGAGAGTGGTGTTTTTATGACCGACACAGGGCCATCAGGGCTTGGCCAGGGAAAGCCGGTCTGTTCATGGTGATGCATTCAGACTTTCCGGTGGGCGGCGGGTTGGGACTTTCGCTGCTGGAACCTGGTGCAAAGGGAAAGATTGACGGAGTGTGGCAGTAGTGACATGCTGCTGTTTCTCTACCTAGAGTTTTTTTTAATATGGCTCTTTATCTGTAGAAATAATATATTATGGACTGCTATAAACACATAATTTGAACTGTAAATATGTTTAAGGAAAACGCGAGTTGAAGTCATGGAATTTTAAACGCAATTTAGATATCTGTGTACACGAAAAGACATTGTGAAGGCATTTGGGCTTCCGTACAGCTCTCTCAGTGTATTGTAAGACAGGCTCTGCCAAGTTTGCCTTTGAAGTTGGTCATCAGACAACCTTTTGCAGTTCTTTAAATATATGTACCTATATGTATCTTACCTATCTCTCTGTATCTATATATCAATACATAGATTTAAAGAACTACAAAAGATTCTTTATACATATAAAGAACCTCATAGAGGAGCTGATGCCAGGGGCTTAAGTGGAGAGCAAATGTTATGAGAATGATGAGGGCAATGAATGTACAAATATGCTTTTCACAATTGATGTTTGTGTAGATTGTGATAAGAGTTGTAGGAGCCCCTAATAAAATGATAAAAGAAAGAAAGAAGTCACAAAATGATACGGAGGAAACTTTCTTCTTTAATAATGTGCTATGGAGTTTCAAGTAAAAGTTTACACAACAAGTTAGGTTCCTATAGGACAAGCTACACCAAAAAAAAAGTCTTATAAAAGATACATATGAATAGGTGTATCTCTATATATTTAAAGAACTGCATAAGGTTGTGGAAACGAGGCCTCCTTTCCATTATTAGTTGGGTATGATTAAGAGGTTGGTGTCAATTGAAGAAGGAAGGGAAAGATCTCCTAAGATCAAGTTTTCAGAAGGTGGGTGTCCAAGAAGCAATTTGAACTTGTTCCCAACTTCTGGGACCTAGTACATCTAGATTTGAGAGTGTGCAGCTAAACAGCTAAACAGCGGACTGAGTAACACAAACACTCAAATAGCACCTTGGATAATCATTTGTTTGGCAGGGATTTCAGAAATGCTTTAGTTAGTTGTTGTTTTTTTTCCGGTGGGAGGAACTACTTTTAAACTTGATCAGAAACTCAAGTTCTGTGTATTAGTCTGGGTACTTTGGAGAAACAAATCCACAGCAACTCATGTATCAGAGAGAGTTTTATGTAAAGAAAATGTGCATCACGAAAACATCCCAACCCAATGCTGCCCAAGCCCACAAGTCCAACATTAACCCATTAACCCAACACCAGTCCACAAAGTCCTCCACCTCACAAAACAGAGGCAATGATGCCGACTGCAGGAGGAAAGCTGAGTCAGTGAACGAACAAGCATCTCAGCACTGGCAGGGGTCTCCACACGGCTGCTCCAGCACCCAGGGCTGCATCGGGATAGGTCCATGTAGCTTCTCCTTGGGGATGTCTTGTAGGAAGTCAATCTTGCAAGCTGAAGCAGGGAACTGCTAAGGCAGCTGCATCTGGTGCGACCATCACAAAACAAGAGACCCGAGAACTAGAAAGGCGAGGCTCCACCACCCATCTATCCCTCCGCCTTTCAGTTAGCCCCACATGTGATTATCGGCCAGGCTGGCACAATTAACTAACTCATTCTGTGTGTGATTGCCTTCACAACTGTGGTTTTATCCTGAACAATTGAGCCCAGTGAACTCCTTTTTGAAAGGGCAACGAGTGTCTGGGATCCCCCAAAGAGCGGAAGGTGGGATGTTTTCTGGTTGTCAAGGCCCCTGAGGCTGACCCAGTCACGCAGACACACCAACCAGCTCTGTCATTAAAGTTTATAAGATGGCCTGTAAAAGCACTGTGCCCTTGGCATGTCTGCCAGAAGAGGTCCAGCAGGTCTCATGAGAAATGCCCTCTGAGGTTAGAGCATAAGTTCTCAAACTTACTTGGCCTACTGGCCCCCTTTCAGAAAACAAACAAACAAGCAATCCCCCGTAAACTCTGCCCTCTGGTAATTAAAAGCTTGTGTGTACTGTAGAGTCCACAATTGTAGGCATCTACTTTTGCAGGACCCCCCACCCCCCACCCTATCATTTTAGTGCCCCCAGGGGGCAGTGCTACCTACTTTGGAAAACTTAAGCATTTGACTTGATTTTCTCACCTCCGTTGGAAACCAGGTTACCCATCCTTTTCTTCTTGCTGAGGAAGAGATTGTGGAGGCAAAACGTCTCTGCCCGATTTGTGAGATGCTCCTCAGGGTCCATTTGCCTTTGCTGTGAATCTACTTCAACTCATGTTGACCCCAGATGTTAGCATACAACTAACTGCTGCACAGAGTTGTCAAGGCCTGATTTTCAGAAGTAGACGGCCAGTTCTTTCTTCCGAGGTACCTCTGGATGGGCTTGTACCTTATCAGTTAGCCACTGAGCACGGAACTCTTTATGCCACTCAGGAAACCCGCCTTCCTTATGCATTGAGGGTTTCTCCTTTAAAGTTCTGTTAGTTCATGTCCAAGGTCAGAATAGCTTTCCATGACCAATCCAACCCTCATTCTATCCTTCTGGAAGTAGCAAAGCAGCCTGATGAACAAGGGTGACTGGGGAAACAGATACACAAACAGGTTGTTTCAGGGTTTCACCCCAGACCTCTTCAAGTGGACGTGGAGGGAGGAGAATCTGCGTTTTTGAAAAGTATCTCAGGTGATTCCAATGAATCAGCCATATTCGGGAGCCACTGGTCTAGACTGCCTTTAACCCCCATTCACTTCTATTGAACTACAGTGAAAGCTTGCAACAGGCTGTGGGACCCTGGGGATCAAGGGCAGGGTGTTGAGAGCCTGGGCTTGGAGCCCGTGTAGTTTCAGATGCTGGAGCCATACGATGGACTCCGTGTCAGACCAGGGGCAAGATAGAGAAATGCGGAGTCGTTTCAAAAGTGACTGTTTTTAAACGACTGTGCGTGTTTGTGTGTGTGTGTTGGTAATCGTAGACGTGTAGTAGACTGGATATAAGACTACAAAACATTACTGATGTGAACATAAAATGAGAGGATCAGGCACGTGGCCGAGGAGACCCTGTTTTCTCATCCCAACCCCTGCTTTGTCTCTCTTCTTGACTTGTGTTTGCTTAGCTGTGAAATGAGGGAACCAGACACATTGTTCTGTAAGGCTTCCACGCCCACCCTGGTGGCACAATGGTTAAGTGCTCAGCGCTTACCAAACTCTTGGTGGTTCAAGCCCCTCCCAGTGGCTCTGCTGGAGGAAAATGCAGTGATTCACTCCCACAGAGGAGCCCTGGTGGTGGAGAGGCTCACTCAGTGGGCCGCTAACTGCAAGGTCAGCAGTGAGGGAAAGATGAGGCTTTCTGTTTCCGCAGAGTTACAGTCTTGGAAACCCATGAGTCGGTGGCATTGAGTTTGAAGATCACAGTGTAGAACATGCAGTGGGGCAGTACTTCTCTGTCACACGGGGCTGGTAGGAGTCGAAATAGGAACCTCTACAACCACAGCCCCCTCTTTACCCCTGGCACTCCCTCTGTAAGGGGGGGCCCTTTTCACATCGCTGGCCCACTGCAGCTTGGTGACCACCTGTGGATGCTTGCCTTCCGAAGTGCGGATTGGACAGTGTGGAGCAGTGCTTCCCAAAGTGGGTGACACCACCCCCTAGGGGGCGCCAGAAAGACCCAAGGGGTTGCAAAAGCAGATGCCTACACTTTACCCTGGATTATGTGCTAGACTTCCAAGGTTTTTAATCACCAGGAGGGCATCCAGTAATTTTATTTTTTTCCCCAGAAGGGGCTCTAGGTCCAATCAGTTTGACCTGCTAAGGACCATTTGGATATTTATAACATCATCTGTGGTCCATACAAAATTATCAACTTAAAAGTTAACCTGCTCTATTTGTGCCAACATTTCATTCAGTAACCCCAGGTGTGATGGCTTAGGAGTCCTCGTGGTGTAGTGGTTATGTGCTGGGCTGTGAAATGCCAGGCCAGCAGTTTGAAACCACCAGCCACTCCTCAGGAGAAAGTGGGGGCTTGCTGCTCCCATCAAGAGTTGAAGTCTCAAAAGCTCACAGGGGTAGTTCTACCCTGCCCTGTAGAGGCAGCATGGGCTGGTTGGCCGTGAACTTGATTTGGAATGTGATGGCCTGAACAGTTTGTTTTGGGTGAGGCCTTTGATCTTAGCTGTTGTTGAGGATTCCTCGGGCCTCATGCGTGCTCAGGTTGAACTTGCCCCGCCCTTGGTCCAGAGGCTAGGGCTGGCCAGTGAGCTGCTGAAGCTCTGGGCAGTGGAAGCTGTGTGGTGCAAGGTCAGTGGAACACAGGACACCGGAGGGGATCTGTGCCCATTTGCCAGCTTTGACATCTCTAGACGGCAGGGTCATCAATGCCACAGTGTTGTTTCCATGCACGGTCCCAGCACAGCACCTGTGCCTGTGAAGGCTTCTTCCTGTTTCCTTGGGCTGGATTGAGATCCTGGTGCCCTAGGTGGTCTCTGGTGAATGCTGGTGGGCTGCTAGTCTCCTGCCACGAGGAGACAAGGGTGGTGAGTGTGTGTTGGGGAGATTTAGGGAGAGGAAAGGGAAGGTTTTTTGTTTTTAGCTAAGGGGTACGAATGCATGGAATTGCTTCCCTTTGGCAATTTGAGCTTCAGAGCGTAATGTGGAAAATCGCAGCTGCAGTTTGACTGGTCTGTTTTTTAGGACAGGTGGAGCATTGGCCAGGGGGTGGCTCTCCGAGTAAGAAAGGGCTCTACTGGAATAGAATTGTGAATGTCTGGTATCTCAAGGAACTGCTGGTAGCGGAGGGAGAGGGAGAGAAGCCTTGAAGCTTGGCCGCCCCCACTTGAATTTCATGTCAGCAGAGCAAAGCCTTCTAGCAGGTGATGTTCAAGCTGTAGGAACATTTTAGGAAAGACAAGGTAGATTTTCACATTTCTTATCTGTAATGTGGAATCCGTCTTGTCCAAAATGTCACAAAGGGCAGGAAATGTGCCCTTTACAAAACATTTTGATGCTTATTTTCTCCCCTGTGTGCCTCCAGGTATATTAAATGTAAACATTACTGATATTGAAGAAGTCTGCAATTGTAGAATAGAATTGACTCACTGAAAGCAAGTTTGGTTTTTTTTTTTGGTTCCTTTATGCAACTTGGCTTCATGGTAAGGATAAAGCATGGAACAAAATACCTCCTAATTATTGAAGGAAAAAATGTTTCCATATTCTTACTATCTATCTGTAAACCAAACCAAGATACTCACTGCTGTTGGGTCAATTCTGACTCACAGCAGTCTGGCTTTGAATCAGGCAAGCAGTGGACTGCAAACCGCAAGGTCAGTGGTTCAAACCCAACACTCTCTCCTTGGGAGAAAGTTGAAGTTCTCTGCTCCCATAAAAATATACAGCCTTGGAAACTCTATATGGGGTCACTGTGAGTTGGGATCCAATTGATGGCAATGGGATTGGTTTTGGGTTTGAATCTACTTACCAACTGAATAACCTTGGGCCAATGTCTTAACCTCTCTGTGCTTAGTTTTCTCATTTGTAAAATAGGAGAGCCTAAATTAGGTTCTTAGGACAATGTGAGCCAGAAGAAACCTTAAATGTCAAATGTTAGTCTTTGTCATTCTAATGCATGATTTCCTGCCTCCCTAAAGGAGCCCTGGAGATGGACTGCTAGCCACAAGGTCAGCAGTTCAAGACCACCAGTTGCCCCTTGGGAGAAAGACAAGGCTTTTTATTCCTGTAAAGAGTTAGTCTTGGAAATGCCCAGGGGCAGTTCTTTTTTGTCTTATAGAGTTACAGTGAGTCAGAATTGACTCAATGGCAGTGAGTTTTTCAGTTGGTAAAGCACCCCAGTTTGGCCTTGGCAGTAGACCTGGGCTCCTGTAAGAAACTTCTGCCCAGAGGGCGGCCCAGCACATGCATGGTAACGTCTGGGCTCCTTCCCGTCTCAGTCTTGGGGATATGGTCATGGTCAGCTTTTCTCTGTCTGTGATGGGAGGTTGGCTATTTCAGGCTGGTGAAAGATTCCCTATGGGGAATGAATGAATCTGTGTGCGGTAAGATGTAGAGAGCCCATTTATGTCCAGTATTTTACCTCTAGGAATTCACCCAAAGGATATCATTAGCCAGGTAAATATTTTTCACAAATTCACCTATTTATAACCATTGAAATATGGAAACAACCTGAGTATACAATAGTAGAATAGTTAAATACAAGTAATCATATATTAATAATCATAAAGTCTTTAAAATGTATTTGAAGGATGTTTGTAATAGACAAAAAAATAGGACGTGGAACTTTAGGAAGATCTTGGCTATAGAAAATAAATGTTTATGCATCTGTCTGTCTACAGAGAGATATATACAAATGACTTGAAGGCAAATCATGATGGACGCAGGGATGGTTTCTGAATTGTGAAGTTGTGAATCACTTTCCTTTCTGTCTTAACACTTAAAGAAAATCTGTTTCACGTGTTCAACAATGAACATCCAGCCCTTTGGGGTTATAAATGTACAGATTAGGAAAAAAATGAAAGTAGATGACTTAAGTGTCCAATTAAGGAGGTTCGCAGAAGAACGAAATAAATAAAAAATGGAAAAACGTAGGCTATTAATGGGATAGAACACAACAGTGTCCAGAACCGATGGCCACAAAACCCAAATCTGATTCTTTGAAAAGAGGAAGAAAATAAATGACTCTATCACCAGGTGCGGTCATAGAAAAACACGAGTTAGAAATAAGCAGCCTCAAGCGTAATGGATGAAGTAATTACAGTTATAGAGGAGTAGAAACATGATGATAATGCCATGTGCCACTCGGTGCCAGTCCTTTTAAAAACAAGTTGAACTGGATGGTTTCTTGGGGGAAATATAAAGACCAAAACGGGCTGAAGAAGTGAAAAATCTGAGTAGGCATGACCAGGGAAAGCAGTGAAAAAAGAGGCCAAGATTTGGCCCTCAATGCAGCACGATGTCCAGAAAGAAAAATCGATAAATTAAGTCTTCTTCAAAATTTGAAACTTTTGATGGGATCCAGCTTATTAATTTTGAAAGAGTGACAAGAAAAACTACAGATTGGGAGACAGTAAAGCCTGCATGCCCGACAATATCTAGACTGTGGGCAGAACTCTCAAAATGCAATAGAAAACCAACAGTCCAATTAGAAAGTGGGCAAAAGACTTGAAGAGCGATTTCACTAAAGAGGATATACAGATGGTAAGTAAGCACATGAAAAGATGCTCAACATCATTAGCCATCAGGGAAATGCTAATTAAATTTACAGCCAGAGAACCAATCAGAATAGCTAAAATAAAAATTAGTGGCAACACCAACTTAATGTTGCAGGCGACACTGGAGAAATTGGATCACTCTTCGACTGCCAGTGGAAGTGTAAACTTGCACAGCCACTGTGGTAAACTCTCTCTCATAGAATGAAGCATGCAGTTTTCATAGAGCTTAGCAGTTGCATGCTTAGGCATTTATTTCTAAGAACGAAAACTCATATTTACAAACACCTGTGTACTGAAATTTATTCATGGTAGCTCGGACTGGAAACAACCTGAATGCCCTTAGGTGGGTGAAGCGTTAACAAGCCTCGGTTCAACCACACTGCAGAATATGACCTCTCGATTAGAAGGACACTGTACTGACATGACAGTTTGGATGAATCTCCAGGTGATGATGCTGCGTGGAAAAAGCTAGTCCCCAAAGATTGTATACTCTTTGAGTCTGTCATGTGGCATTTTTGAAAGGACAAAGCATAGAATAGGAGTACAGGTCCATGATGGCCACATCTCTCATGTGCTGAAAAAACATGGGGAACTACAGATTAGTAAATCAGCAGAAATAAGTCCATGCTTACCTTGATGATTGGGTAACCCAACACTAAATACTCTTTATGTGAGTGTACATGTGTGCATAACTGCATGCATGTGTGTGCACACAGGAGTGCACGGAAAAAACGGGGTCGTGAATACGATTGGTGGATCATCTCAATGTCAGTATCCTAGTTATGACCAAATACTGGTTTTGTATGTGTGAGCATTGGGTGAGCTATGTAAATTATCTCAATAAAAGACTCTGGTTTTAAAAAAATGGCACCAGGCCCAGATGGTTTTACAAGCAAATTTTTCTAATCCTTCAGAGAACAGACAATTGTTGTTCTAGAGCTTAGAGATACAGGAGACTGTTCATTTTCTTTCATGAGGTTAGCATTATTCTATGCTAGAACTCTAAAAGCACATGAAAACAAATCTATAGGGCAGTATAAATTATGATCCCTTATGCCTAAATTTTAAAGAGGGTATTGTCGAATTGGAGGATCATCAAACAGCTTATCAGAAGAATAACGATGAGCGTAAATAATGATGAGGTATTATCCAAGGATTACTTGAACATCAGTAGAGGCAATGCTATAAATAGTTTCAGGGAGATAACAATACGATCATCTCAACAGATGCACAAGAAGCATTCAGTGAAAGTAGATACAGATACCAAGATAAAAGCCCCTAAATTATGGGTCGCCGAAGTTTACTGTATTCGAGTTACTGCATCTGTGCTGAGGGCTCAACTCACTTTCTGTGTTTAGGAACCAAAAGGCTTGTGTTTACTGAGTTGTTAGGCAACAGTGTGCAGTTACATGAGGAACAGGTGTATGGCAGTGTAATAAAGCATGGGTCATAGCATATATACATTCTAATTCAGCCAGATCGCAGCCCTTGAATTGCTACTGTTGGGTTGTGTGCTATCCCCAATTAAACCGCTATAGGAGATGATCATGAAGGGGATTGTGTCAGGCTGAGTTGACTAGAAACCAAATCCAATGACACTCATATACGTATAAGAAAGAGCTTTATATCATGAAGTCATCATGCATCAATAAAACATTTGCAGCAGAGTCTAATTCAAGTCCCTAAGTCAGATGCCAGTCCATGAGTCCCTTTTCAGACTCACACAGCCACATGCAATGACGCAGAATGCAGGAAGATCACCAGCCAGTGGGTGCGAAGTTGTGGATCCAATTGTGGTGGCCGCATCACAGGGCCCGCACATGGCTCTTCAACAGGCAGGTAAAGGGATAGAGAGGGAAGGGCCCCAGAATCCTTCTTAGAGAAGGCCATGCCACAGGGAGGCACCATCAGGCTGTGACCTGATTGACAGGTGAGACTCTACCCCTACGTTTTTATATCAAGTTGAAACGAAATTATGTAACTGCCACGGCGATGGAATCAGGTGAATTGAGGTTCAGTTTCAGGTGTGACCACTTACAAGCCATGTGACCTTGGAAAAAATTTATCGACACTGAGCCTGGGCTGTTTTTTTTTTGCCAAGGCAAAACCTGGGGTCATAGTTTTCCCCCTTTTTGTTTATTTTAAAGATTTAGCTCAGAAATGGCTGAACACTCCAACAAAAATTGACCCATGGCAGATGTTTTAGTCACACTCATTTTTTCTTTTCTTCTTAGTTTTTGTGATTCTTGAATATATTCTGTGCGTTTATACATATGTTTCTTGCTTCTCACTTCCATTCTATTCTTAACACC